TTTTTTCCACAGGGCTCCAGTGTCAAACTCGAGAGTTTGGGAATGAATGAGTTGAATGAACTGAGGAGTTCGGGAATGAATGAATGGCAGAGGGCTCCAGTATCAAACTCGAGAGTTCGGGAATGAATTAATGAATGAGATGAATGAATGAATAAATGATCAGTTTGGCTTGTTTTTCTTGTTTGATTAATTTGACAGACTTGACATATTTGGCTTGTTTTTTCCACAAGGCTCCAGTGTCGAACTCGAGAGTTTGGGAATGAATGAGTGAATGAACTCGAGGAGTTCGGGAATGAATGAATGGCAGAGGGCTCCAGTATCAAACTCGAGAGTTCGGGAATGAATTAATGAATGAAATGAATGAATGAATGAACGAATGATCAGTTTGGCTTGTTTGTTTTGTTAGATTTATTTGACAGACTTGACCTCTTTGGCATGTTTTTTCTACAGGTCTCCAGTATTAAACTCGAGTGTTCGGGAATGAATGAATGAATGAATGATTGAATGAGCTCGAGGAGTTCGGGAATGAATGAATTCTTTCTGTTAGATTTATTTGACAGACTTGACATCTTTGGCTTGTTTTTTCCACAGGGCTCCAGTGTCAAACTCAAGAGTTTGGGAATGAATGAGGGAATGAACTCGAGGAGTTCGGGAATGAATGAATGGCAGAGGGCTCCAGTATCAAACTCGAGAGTTTGGGAATGAATGAATAAATGAAATGAATGAATGAATGAATAAATGAAATGAATGAATGAATGAATAAATGATCAGTTTGACTTGTTTTTCCTGTTTGATTTATTTGACAGACTTGACATCTTTGGCTTGTTTTTTCCACAGGGCTCCAGTGTCAAACTCAAGAGTTTGGGAATGAATGAGGGAATGAACTCGAGGAGTTCGGGAATGAATGAATGACAGAGGGCTCCAGTATCAAACTCAAGAGTTCGGGAATGAATGAATGAATGAATGAAATGAATGAATGAATGAAATGAATGAATGAATGAATGAATTAAATGAATGAATGAATGAATGAATGAATGAAATGAATGAATGAATGAATGATCAGTTTGGCTTGTTTTTTTTGTTAGATTTATTTGACAAACTTGACATCTTTGGCATGTTTTTTCTACAGGTCTCCAGTATCAAACTCGAGAGTTCGGGAATGAATGAATGAATGAATGATTGAATGAGCTCGAGGAGTTCGGGAATGAATGAATTCTTTGAGTTAGATTTATTTGACTGACTTGACATCTTTAGCTTGTTTTTTCCACAGAGCTCCTGTATCAAACTCGAGTGTTCGGGAATGAATGAATGAATGAATGAATGAACACGAGGAGTTCGGGAATGAATGAATGGCAGAGGTCTCCTGTATCAAACTCGAGAGTTCGGGAATGAATGAATGAATAAAATGAATGAATGAATGATCAGTTTGGCTTGTTTTTTTTATTAGATTTATTTGATAGACTTGACATTTTTGGCTTGTTTTTTCCACAGGTCTCCAGTATCACACTCGAGAGTTCTGGAATGAATGAATGATTGAATGAACTCGAGGAGTTCAGGAATGAATGAATTCTTTCTGTTACATTTATTTGACCGACTTGACATATTTAGCTTATTTTTTTTACAGGGCTCCAGTATCAAACTCGAGAGTTCAGGAATGAATGAATGAATGAATGAAACTCGAGAGTTCGGGAATGAATGAATGGATGATTAGTTCGGACCTGCTCGTCTACCGTTTCTCTCCTCTACCAATCAACCATCCTACCAACCCCCGCTGCTGCTCTTGCCATCATCACAGCTACCAACTACCGCTTGTTTATCTTTCTTCTTCTTCTTCTTCATCTTCTTTTTCTTCTTCTTTGTCGTCGTTGCGTTGTATTCGAGAGGACAAAAACTTCCAGCAAATGTCATCGCCTTCCGGAAAGCAACCCCAAGTCATAATCTGCAAAGGTATAATATACAAGAATGTCCCAAAATCTGAAATGTGAAGACATGTTTGAATCCCATTTCGTTCATTTTAAAAACGTTGTTGCATTTATAAATGTTTTGAATCCCTCTTTGTTGGTTTGTTTGTTAAGCCGCGGTGGCATGGGGAGCTTCTGAGCCTCTGGTGATCGAAGAAGTGGAGGTGGGTCCCCCTCAACCCATGGAGATCAGGGTCAAAGTCGTCTCAACCTCCCTTTGCCGCAGTGACCTCACCGCCTGGGAATCTCAGGTCTTTCTCTCTCTTTTTTAGTTACTTCTGTTTATGCAAATGTGTGTTTCTTAATTACTTGTTTGAGCTTCATTTAAGGATTAAATTCACTAGCTTTTCTTTTCCCATTTCTTTATGGATGTCTACTTTTTGGATGTTCACTTAACTGGGTAATTTTTAGAAAGATCTGTAGAGGATTGCGTTAGATTAGAGTTTGAGATTTGACAAGTCACAAAGGACTATAGTTGACTTATTTACGGATCGTGTATTGGATCCTAACAAGTATCTTGAAGAGCTGTAGGTCATTGATCAATATATATCGGCATGCTATAACTTTAACAAATAAGTCTTCTGCATTTCAAAAAAAAAAACAAATAAGTTTTGTGCCTACAGATAAAAGAAAGGTTTCCTAGAGAAGTATTATAAGAGGGAACAATGTACTAATTATTTTAGGTGAACGGAAACCACATTGTTGTGGAAAATAGAATGACTAGAGAAACCATTTTCAAAAAAAAAAAAAAAGAATGACTAGAGAAACCAAATTGGAAGATTTTTGAATTTTTAGGAAGTCGGGTAATAGCATGTGTCAGCATCAGAAGATTTGCTTGCTGGTTTTGGGTTGTTGAAATGTTACTTTGAGAGCAAGACTCTATGAATAAAATAATTATCAGATGGAGTAAGTCATTTAAATTGGTGAAGCATAGATAAGAGGCAATTTCTTTTTTGATGTTGCTCTGTAAAGAAAAAATGACAACAAATGATTCTTGACCTTTCTTCAGCTAAAACATCAATCAAAATATTTCCTACCAGAGCCCTGTGGGGGAATAGGATGTATTTTCACATGCTATAGTCATAGTTTTCTTACTTGAGTATTTCCTTGAATAGTCCAAACTTCAAAGGTGGGTTTATTTAAGTATGTTCAACATAGTCCTTTTCAGGAGTTGAATATCTACACCAATCCACATTTAATTGAGTTACTTCTAGATAAGTTGATCTGAACTTTCTTAGCAAATTGTTTGTTGTTGCAAACAATATTTCCTCGGATATTTGGCCATGAAGCATCTGGGTAACATCAGCACCTTTTTTCTTTTCTTATTTTTTAAGCTAATTTATGGTTGTCCCTCAAGTGATTGACTCATATACAGACAAGAAAGGCTTTCAATCGTTGGACCAACGTATCAATGGGTGTATTTAAACTTGAGCCTAAGATATCGGAGTAAAAGCCTTAGAAAAAGTTTTGAAGATCATACTCATGTCACGTTGCACAGTTAAGCATGATATGCAGTAGTATAGCGGATATTCTTCTCTTATGGAATAAATATGTAGTTCAGACGTGAGGAAAAATTTCACTTGTCTGTAGAAAAAAGGAAAAGTGAAGAAAACATTTCAACGAGCATTATCTTCTTAGTGAATAAGCTTGCAGTGGGATTGTGTATGCTGTTAACTCAGCTTTCTATAAAATATCGACTTTATCCAATTTGGCAGGATTGTTGAGAGTGTGGGGGACGAGGTAACTGAATTCAGTGAGGGAGATCATGTGCTTACAGTATTCACGGGAGAATGTAGTGCATGCAAGCAGTGTAAATCAGGTAAAAGCAATATATGCCAAGCATTGGGATTGGAAAGGAGAGGGTTAATGCATAGTGATCAGAAGACACGCTTCTTTATAAAAGGGAGGCCAGTTTATCATTATTATGTTGTTTCAAGCTTCAGTGAATATATCGTGGTGCACTCTGGATGTGCTGTCAAAGTGAACTCAGATGTGCCTCTGGAGAAAATATGCCTGCTGAGCTGTGGAGTAGCTACAGGTAACTCTTAGTTCAGAATATTTTCCTTATTGTACCCTCTCTCTCTCTCTCTCTCTCTCGGGAAATTTTCAGCTGGTGTTGGGTATGCACTAGCTAAAATCATACAGTTGACATGTAACAATCTGAACAGAAAATTACTAATGATAGAACTGATTATTCCAAATGGGGAAATATGGATGTCAAGCGTTGTTGTGTCCTAGTAAATAGGACAGCAGAGAGCCTCTTTATGAAGATTTACAAACTAGCTTAAGTGAAACCACAGACTTTTCTGTCTTAACCAATGTTGCTAAAAGCATGAAATCTAATTCAACTTATCTTTTTGGGCCTGAATTGACATGAAGAGATTTATTGGTTAAGGAATAGTAGATCTAACGAACAGAAGTACAATGCTAGGTCTGGGTGCGGCTTGGAATGTTGCTGATGTATCAAAAGGGTCGACTGTGGTGATATTCGGTCTTGGGACTGTAGGCCTTTCTGTAAGTGCTTAGACTTGTAATAGCTTTCTCACCCGTGATTTTCTGCCACACGGCCACCTTATGATTATTGTAAACTGTAACCCTTTCTTGTATGATAGGTAGCACAAGGTGCTGAGTTCAGGGGAGCATCCAGAATAATTGGTGTAGACACCAATCCTGCAAAAGGTGAAAAAGGTAAAAGATGTTTACTTTTGTAAGTTTGGATTTGTATGAATCTAACAAATTTGAAATCCCTTGTTTAATAATGTGTCTATTTCGGCTGCACAGCAAAAGCTTTTGGAATTACAGATTTTATCAATCCAAATGAATGTAATGAATGTATTCAGCAGGTATTTATCCGATCAAACCACGGTGATAATTATTTCCCTTCCATGGACAATCATAGGAATAAAGACAGTTTTAACAGCAAATAAGGATTGGCTGATGTTATTTGTTTACAGTCTTATTGATAACCTAGTCAATATAATTAAATAGATATGAATAATGAACTAGATAAAATTAAAGAAAATTTGCCTACGTTTTCAACTACTCCATCATTTTTGAGAAATAAGTAGTTTGCCCTGAAATTGTTTGTTTGCTTTGATTGTTTAGGTTGTTAAGCGTATTACGGATGGAGGGGCAGACTACTCCTTTGAGTGCATTGGTGATACTGGAATGATAACAACTGCATTGGAGTCATGTTGCGATGTAATTTTGAAAATAATCTCAGTTTTATATTTTGAATAATGAAATTTTATATTAGTGCACTTGGCTTCATTCTCTTTGGTGTCTTCTCTTTAGGGATGGGGTTTGACTGTTACACTTGGTGTACCAAAAGTAAATCCAGTAGTAACTGCACACTACGGATTACTGCTAACTGGAAGAACACTAAAAGGATCTTTATTTGGAGGATAGAGACCTAAATCTGACCTCCCTTCATTAGTCGACATGTACATGAAAAAGGTAATATAACCATGGTAAATTTGCTTTTCATTGTTAGAAATATTTTTCCTGTGGTTTATGTTTCTTATGTAAAACATAATTATGTGATCCAAATCATGAATCAGGTATAGATTATGCTGCCCATAAATATTATTGAATTGGGGTTATCATGGCTCAAGTTCATTTATTATGGAATTTGGGTTATCGAGGCTCAGGTTCATTTATTATGGAATTTGGGTTATCAAGGCTCAAGTTCCTTTGGCGTAGATTTGGAAACATGTTATAAAACTTTTGAAGTGTACATGTTAATCTATGATAGTTCTTGGATTCTTAAGTTATATTTATCAACTTAATCTTTTCAAGCAATCGAGGCATATAAGATTTATTGTACTCGAAGTTTTTCTCTCAAGTTATTTAACTTCCTTTTATTAATAAACGCATTATATGTTATCGTTTGATTGTGTCATTTTATTCAGAGTCAATTCTGTTTTTCGGTGTTTCAAGGTGGATACCTCATCTATCTTGTTGCCCTTTTTTTTTTTTCCAGATTCCATTAATAAAATTTTTGAGTTTTCTATACAAAGAAAATAACAAACACATTACAAATACATATAGCCATGAGTGTGTAGCCTCAAGAAAAAAGAGGGAAAAAAAGAGGGTGAGCTAAGAAAACAGAAAGGAAATGAAAACTTGCTTAATTTATTTATTCTGACAAGGCTTTCGATGATGTGTTAACCATGAGTGTGTAGCCTTAAGAAATAACGGATATGAAAACCTCCGCGGTTGATATCAGTTCATGTATAATGACCATAACAATGTGAAAGTCTTCTTTATGGTTCTATGAGTAAAGCATGTAAAAATCCAAAATTACTATGTGCAGCAAATCCACATTGACGACTACATTACACATAACCTGCCACTCGAAGATATCAATGAAGCTTTCAATCTCATGAGTGAGGGGAAATGTTTGCGTTGTGTTATTCACATGCCCATGCAACTTCCTCTTGCTTCAACAACTTGATGAAGAGCAGCTGGCCACAAATGGGAATCATTCATCCTTCTTATGATGGATTTTTAGTAGCAAGTGTACAATCGCTTGTATGTTCTGGACCCACTATAGTTTTCTGTATTGTATAAACATGTTTACAAACTGCTCAGAATTAATTGTCCCAGGTTTTAGATGGTTTTGACTAATTGAAGGGAGTGAGGTCTTAAAATTGCTTTCCTGTCAAGTGTGTGTGTGGGTACCTGGTATGTGTTTTTTCTCCAATTAATGAACTTTATCCATCAAATGATAAACCGTCAACCCTAGAGTTTGATCATTATATGAGGATATTCATCATTGATTATATCTAAATGATTAGAAGAAATTTTCCAAAATATGTTGTCAGTTGTCTCTTGTCTGGCTTCTTACTTTTTTTTTCTTGACCTTGCTGCTCAATTTATCAGTTACTACCACCAGTCATTTCAGCAGTGATAAGGCTACTCATTCTCCTTTATAAAGTCTAAGGTTCGAGTCAATCCCGCAGCGGTGAACCGGGTATATATGAAAAACCCACTACATGTTTCTCTATCCTTATATCATGTTCTTTAAGGGGAAATAATTATCAATTGCTAAGGCAATTTAGTTGAAATATATGCAAGTTATTTTCAATAGTTGTAAACCTGATTTAACAATTAAACTTCAATAGGCTACTGGAACTGCTCATCACAGAAAAACTCAATAAAGCAATTATATTATAAGACCAGTTGTTCCATTAGAAAATCCGGAAAGAAGGAAACTCATGTTTTATAATGAAATAGACTCGTGAATGACTCGACTCTCTCTCAGAACTCCTTTCGAATAAACATTTCATTTTAATAATATATGCACAAAATAATGGTTGTATTTGCAAGTTTGCCTGCATCATTTACAACTTATTCTCTATTATTCTCAAGCAACACTTCTAACATTAATTAGTCTCACTAATGTGGGACTAACTTGGCTAAATGATACTTAGACCCTGTTCATTTCATTGATTTGAATTTAGAATTCGAGTTTTGCTATAGTAAAAAGCTATCAGAAACAGTCACATCTAATTTTTTTTTTTTTTTTTTTTTGCTACAGTACAAAACTTTAACATAAAGTTACATCTTAATTCAAATTAAAAACTCGAATCCGCGAACCAAACGGACCCTTAATTTGTAAAAGAGAGAACGAGTGGAATTTCACGGCTGTAAACTCATCCAGCAGTAGCTCCGATTCAGATACGTCAATCTTTGTTCTACGACGCAGGGCTTTGGGGTGGTGGCAGTGGGATTGAGGAGGTATTAAGCATGCGAATTGTTGTTGCCATTATGGGTCTGTCTTCAGGGTCTTTCTGTACACAAAGCAATCCAATATGGACATATTTGTCCACTTCAATTTTCTGAATAAGAAGCTAAAAGTGTGATCCAGTTTGTTTCATAATATCATTATTAAAGTAATAAAATGATTTTTTATGACTTCATTTTAGTTTTTCTTCTTTATTAGAAATTTTGTTTCATTATATTATGATCATAAACTTAAATGAAAATATGTATTAATTTTGTACATTTTCGTATTTTTTAGTCCAATCAAAAACACGTTTGTTCCGGTGCCTAACTTTACCAATTTTTTGCAAATTTTTTATATTCAGTATATTTCATCATAATACCATTATTAAAGTAATGAAATGTTTTTTGATGAGTTCATTTTAGTGTTTCTTTTTTATTAGAAATTTTATTTCATTATCGATCTGATCATAATTTTAGTGAAAATAGATATTGATTTTGTATGTTTTTGTGTTTTTTTGTCCATCTAGAAACACATTTGTTTCAGCGTCTGATTTTGCCCAAGTCATCTCAAACTTTATATTCATTCTTTTTCACAATTGTGGAATCATTACAATAACGAAATGATCTATTATGGGTTCATGAATACGTGCATGTTGATTGTTTGAGACTTGTTGCAATTTTTTTTTTTATTTTCAGTGTGTTTTGAAATAATATCACTATTAAACTAATGAAAAGCTGTTTAATGTGTACGTTTTCTTTTGTATTACATATTTTGTTTCATAATGATCTGACTATTCAATAATGAAAATGTCATTTGATTTTAAGAGTGGAGGGACTCAATTTGGAATAACTATTGAGGTTGGAAACTTTTAAGGCTGAGATTTTTAAAAATATTCGGTGGATATTTCTTCTTTTTTTCATAAAAAAACTTTCCCTATTCAGATTTTGTTTCATTTTCTTTTCTATTTTGTTGTCTCATTATTTTTTTTCCTTTTTATTAGATAAGGATATAAATGTCTATATGTATATAATAGATAGTTTTGTAAATAAATCATATATCATATAAATTTTAATACTGTACAGCAACTGCAAATTTGTAAAAGAGAGAACGAGTGGAATTTCACGGCTGTAAACTCATCCAACAGTAGCTCCGATTCAGATACGTCAATCTTTGTTCTACGACGCAGGGCTTTGGGGTGGTGGCAGTGGGATTGAGGAGGTATTAAGCATGAGAACTGTTGTTGCTATTATAGGTCTGTCTTCAGGGTCTTTCTGTACACAAAGCAATCCAATATGGACATATCTATCCACTTCAATTTTCTGAATAAGAAGCTAAAAGTGTGATCCAGTTTGTTTCATAATATCATTATTAAAGTAATAAAATGATTTTTTATGACTTCATTTTAGTTTTTCTTCTTTATTAGAAATTTTGTTTCATTATATTATGATCATAAACTTTAATGAAAATATGTATTAATTTTGTACATTTTCGTATTTTTTAGCCCAATCAAAAACACGTTTGTTCTGGTGCCTAACTTTGCCAATTTTTTGCAAATTTTTTATATTTAGTATAGTTCATCATAATACCATTATTAAAGTAATGAAATGTTTTTTGATGAGTTCATTTTAGTGTCTTTTCTATTAGAAATTTTATTTCATTATCGATCTGATCATAATTTTAGTGTATATTTTTGTGTTTTTTTGTCCATCTAGAAACACATTTGTTTCGGCGTCTGATTTTACCTAAGTTATCTCAAACTTTATATTCATTCTTTTTTACAATTGTGGAATCATTACAATAACGAAATGATCTATTATGGGTTCATGAATACGTGCGTGTTGATTGTTTGAGACTTGTTGTAATTTTTTATTTTTATTTTCAGTGTGTTTTGAAATAATATCACTATTAAACTAATGAAAAGCTGTCTGATTGTACGTTTTCTTTTGTATTACATATTTTGTTTCATAATGATCTGACTATTCAATAATGAAAATATCATTTGATTTTAGAGTGGAAGGACTCAATTTGGAATAACTATTGAGGTTGGAAACTTTTAAGGCTGAGATTTTTAAAATATTCGGTGGATATTTCTTCTTTTTTCATAAAAAACTTTCCCTATTCAGATTTTGTTTCATTTTCTTTTCTATTTTGTTGTCGCATTATTTTTTTTTCTTTTTATTAGATAAGGATATAAATGTCTCTATATGTATATAATAGATAGTGTTGTAAATAAATCATATATCATATAAATTTTAATACTGTACAGCAACTGCCACAATCAATGTTACGATTACAACATAATTTATTAAGATGCGCTAAATATACGAAGAAATAGTGTATGCCTTTTACTTAGCTGAACTACCCACATTTTCCGCACCTATATGGTATGATTAGGTAAGGAAGGTGAAGACCTTTGGCACCCCAAAAGCCTCATATGCAGAACAGCTCAAGCCATTCCTATCAAAGCGTTCTCAAAGAGAGGCTCAATTAGGAAGCTTGTATTCCTTGTATATAAATTTATAATGGTGTTAATAAGTTTCCAACAGAGTTTTTTGGGGTTGAACTCTGCATTTCAAGATAAGAAATAAACAGACTAAAGCACTCTTACCAACATCATTCACACGAATGGCAGACCATCAGAGACAAAGGATTCATCCAGCAGCAGATGTGGTAGCGCTGCCAACAACACCGTTGGTGCCTCGTGGTACGTCGCCCTCCGATAAAGGAATTCGCATTCAGCACCTCCCTCCATTACAGCGCGCAATGCCTGCAATCCGAGCAACTCCTACCAAAAACAGAAGCTGTTGTTGCAAGTGTGTATGTTGGACAATAAGCCTCATTGTCCTCCTACTGATTGCCATTGCAGCCACGGCCGGCATTCTCTACCTAGTTTTCAAACCAAAACTCCCCAACTACTCCATCGACAACTTAAGGATCAGCGACCTGAGGCTCAATTTCGACATGACCCTGTATGCCAAATTCGACGTGATCTTCACGGCCAACAATCCGAACAAGAAAATCGGAATTTATTACAAGAAAGGAGGCAAATTAAGTGTTTGGTACACAAAAACTAAGCTTTGTGAAGGGTCATTGCCAGTCTTCTACCAAGGCCACCAGAACAAAACAATGCTGAATGTAGCATTGACAGGCCAAAGCCAGCATGGAAATACGCTGATGACAGCACTGCAGGAGCAACAACAAATGGGACGCATTCCCTTGGATCTTAAGGTTCATGCACCAATGGCAATTAGACTTGGCAAGTTGCAGTTGAGGAAGGTCAAAGTTTTGGGGGAATGCTTGTTAGTGGTGGATAGTCTATCCACTAACAATTTGATCAGCATTAAGGCCAGCAATTGCAAGTTTAGACTAAAGCTTTAAGCATTTCTCTTCCGTTTCTTTCATTATATCCAAACAGTTTTAGAGTTTCTATACTTTCGCCATCACTCCAGGTCTTCATCTGTGTTGTTTCATTTCCCATGTAAAGTTATTATTCTTTCATGTAAGACACTATCAAGTTGCCAGAATGCTTCAATAATTACATTCAATTTAGTTCAGTTCGGTATGAACCAAAAGTTGGATTGTAATTTTTTTTTTTCGGTGATTAAGCGTTATCTAATCCGGCTGTTTACCAAATACAAGACATAATATAATCCTCTCCAATCCTATACAGTCGATTCCAGATCCAATAATCCTAGGGCATTTAAAATGGAGAGGCAAATGTCAAAAACGTCTCTTTTAGACGATTACAATAATATGTGGCCAAAACCAGCGGTTATTTACTTAAGCCACCTTCATTGAATGGTTGGTGAACAACCAGTTCCAGTTCGACCTACTTCCTGTGATATTGAATACACGGATCAGAATGTGCGCAAAATATTATGATCATTCAAAAGTAGGTGCTGGGTTAAAAGCAAAAGCAACTAACCTGCTTTGACCAATATATAGCACACCAAAAATATACCTGCTTTCATAGGTTGAATACTTTACTACTTTCATTTCATGCACAAGACATCAACATGAAGGTAACATTGATTTTGAGGAAGCAGAAATCTTATGAATCTTTCCTCATAAAACACTTTTTTTTTCTGCACAGGAAAACACAAGTTTTTTCATTTATGGGTTTTATTTTTTAAGAAACTCTTCAGCAATGTATGACTCTTTTTTAGAAACATGTGGGCATTTTGTGTCGTTAATGTGTAATTATCATAATTCTGTCATTATCTAAATTGCCGGACAGAAGAAAGGATTCATCAAAATTGTGTTTATCATAATTTAGAGGCTGATACAAAGTTTTACCTAGCATATAAGGATTTCATTCTCCGAAATCTATTCATCGTAAATTGTTAACGGATATGTACATTATGCAACTACTTCAATTGAAGAAGGAATCCCTTGCAACCAAGCGTTAGCCCAGAGGCCATTGTTTCACCATTGACAGACATATGGCTTAGTCACCAGTTAAAGCTCGGGGTCTATGCCCAATGGTGAACAGGGACATCCCAGTCTGAGAAATTGCTCTCACAAATGCCATATTTGCTGTCATAGTCGGGGCATGCCACGCATCGCCAGTGCCAAAAACGATCTTATTCTTCAATACAAGCTTCCTAGTTGTGGGGAGGCTCATCATGCGCTCCGAGGGACTGTCAGGCACGACCCTGCTCCAGTTCCAAAACTTTATCATTTACAAAGCGGGATAGAGAAAATTGATTTATTTGTTTTAACATTCTATAAACACAAAGGGTAAAATTATTTGAAAGAGCAAAAAAAAAAAGAGTGAAAAAGGCATATCCGACACCAAGTCCTTTTTTCTAATTTTATGTGACAAAAATGATATATCATTATAGCAAGAACCCGAGGAGATAGTAACTAGAGGAGAAAACACTGCTAGAAGAATGAAACTATTGTTCTATCATTCATATTCCTAGGCATGTACACTATATATATAAGCCAGGGAACAACAAATGAAAGGAAACAAGATAAATAAGGAAACAAATCAAAAAAGAGAGAAACTGCCTAATCACCTATCCCAAAATTTTAGGAAATTCATTCAAAGTCAACTAATAACTTTCCCCCACAATTATTCCATACTCAGCTACACTCCCCCTCAAGCTGGGTAGTACACATTGTACATACCTAGCTTGTCTATCAATTTTTCAAACAAGGGTTTAGCCAATCCCTTGGTCAGAATATCAGCCACTTGTCCAGTAGTAGGAACATATGTCATGCAAATAGTTCCTTCTTCTATCTTTTCTTTGATGAAATGCCGGTCGACTTCAATACAAGCTTCCTAGTTGTGGGGAGGCTCATCATGCGCTCCGAGATATTTATAGCTGCCTTATTGTCACAATAACTCCAACCTTCAGATCATCTAACAACATTTTCAGCCACAAACCCTCACAAATCCCGTGAGCTACTGATCTCAATTCCGCCTCTGTACTACTTCTAGCAACAACTACTTGTTTCTTACTCCTCCAAGTTACAAGATTACCCCACACAAGAGTACAATACCCCGAGGTAGACCTTCTGTCCTCAACATCGCCAGCCCAATCTACGTCAGTATAGACCTCTATGTTTCTATCTTCTCCCTTCTTGAAGAATAAACCTCGTCCAAATGTTCCTTTTAAATGCATCAGAATCCTATAGACAGCTTCTAAATGTTCTTCAGTCAGAGAATGCATGTATTGACTAACTTTACTCACCGCAAAGGCTATATTAGGTCTAGTATGAGAAAAGTAGATAAGTCTTCCAACTAGACGTTGAAAGCAGCCCTTGTCTGCAGGACTATTATCCCTTACAACTTCCTTTTTTTTATTTGGTTCTATAGGAGTCTCTACTGGTTTGCAACCCAACATCCCGGTTTCTTTCAAGAGATCTAGTGCATATTTTCTCTGTAAGACTAAAATGCCACTTTTGTTTCCATTCCAAGAAAATACCTGAGGCTCCTAAAGTCTTTAATCTCGAACTCTTCTACCAGCTTCCTCTTGAGTCTTTGTTCTTCTTCAAGACCATTTCCAGTCAAAATAATGTCATCGACATACACAATGAGTATTGTAATCTTACCATCCTTATGTTGATAGAATAGTGTGTGATCACCTGCAGCCTGCTTGTATCCCTACTCTTTGATCACCTTAGTAATTGGTCAAACCAAGCTCGTGGTGACTGCTTTAGGCCATATAGTGATTTCTTCAACCTGAACACTTCATCACACCTTCCATCTTTGTTGAACCCGCGCATAGCTCCATATAAACTTCTTCCTCCAGGTCACCATTAAGAAATGCGTTTTTCACATCAAGTTGTTGCAATGGTCAATCTAAATTTGCTGCTAGAGACAACAGAACTCGAACAGTATTAATTTTGGCTACAGGTGCAAAGGTCTCTTGATAATCTATTCCATACGTCTATGTGTAGCTCTTAGCCACCAACCGAGCTTTATATCTTTCAATTGAACCATATGCCTTATACTTGACTGTGAATACCTACTTGCACCCAACTGGAATCTTATCTCTGGGTTTTTTCACAATGTCCCACGTGCCATTCTTCTTTAGAGCTCCCATTTCTTCCAAGACAACTTGTCTCCATTCCACTTTTTCCATTGCCTCCTGGATATCTCTCGGTATTTCCACACTTGCCATATTAGACACCAAGGCTTTCATTGGTCCTAACAAATTATCATACCCTACATAATTGGTTAAAGGGTGTTTGGTACAGGATCTGGTACCCTTTCTCAGAGCAATAAGAATGCCTAAATCCTCCAACTCAAGACCAGACTCTGGGTTAGATTCTTGGTGGTGAGTAACCTTCTGGCTTTCTCCAACTTTTTGGTTCTTCCTGCGTGAATAGGTTAGATCAAGTGGTTGCATACCGCCCTCCTTAATTTTTTTATGTTCTTGCATTATAGACATTGGTGCTCTAAGGTTTTGAACTTGTGTGGGATTGTCAGGCTGTGAAGAATTATCTACCTATTCTGTGATGGTGTGTGGTTTATCATAGCCAGGTGGTTCGAGTACGGGTAGATTTGACTGAACATTATCCGTAATTTTAATGGAATTTTCTACAGTAGTGGTCGGGAAATTTTCAGGCTCTATAACAGGTGGATCTGTCTGATTTAAGCCAAGAATATTTTCAAACTTTTTACCATGATTCTCTACTTCAGGAGATGTTTCATTAAGACTAGAATCCCTAGGTTCACCGTTTTTAATTTCTAGAGGAGGAGCAAAATCCCAAAAAAATTCCCAAGACTTGAGGTCCAAAGATTCGGAGTTTGGAACTACAGGATATTTTGACTACTCCCAAAAATTATCTTCCCATATTTTCTCCCCCTGAAGGAAATTTTTGGTAAACGCAGGTTGATCTTCAAAGAAGGTGACATCCCTAGACACAAAGTACTTCCTCTTTTCTATGGAGTAGCACCTATAGCCCTTTTTAGTTGTAGAATACCCCAAAAAAATACATTTATGAGCTCTAGGGTCTAATTTCCCTAGGTTAGGATCAAGGTTATGGACAAAGGCAACACAATCAAACACTTTTAACTCTAGAGAAGAAGGAACATAAGCCTCTGGGTAGGATTTGTATAGGCATTCTATCGGTGTTTGAAATTTGAGAACTCGAGAGGGTACCCTATTTACCAAGTATGTTGCAGTTAGAACTGCATCAACCCAAAAAACGGTTAGGAAGATTTGCTGTAAACATTAATGACCGGGCAACTTCTAAAAGATGACGATTTTTTCTCTCAGCCACTCCATTTTGTTGGATTATTCCATTATTTCTCACAAATTCCCCTAACATGGCATTGAAAAATTCGGTGCCATTATCAGTTCTCAAGAATTTAATATTCTCATCAAATTGTGTTTTAATCATTGCATGAAATTCTTTAAAAACATTCCTGGCTTCGGATTTTTCTTTTAGGAGATAAACCCAACAAACACGTGTGTGGTCATTGGTGAAGGATATGAACCATTTTTTGTTGGTGAGACTTGAAATACGAGAAGGTGCCCAAATATCACTATGAATAAGAATGAATGGTTTTGATGCATGGTGTGGTAAAGGAAAGAGATGAACATGAGTGTGCTTTGCTAATTGACAAACTTCACATTGAAATTTTTCATTATTGAACAAAAATGGAAACAAAAACTTCAAATAAGGGAAACTAGGATGTCCTAATCTATAATACAATAACATAACTTTTTGAGTTCTAGAGATATAATTGCTTGTAACCATATGAGCTTTCCCATTAACGCAAGAATCATCCTTAAAGTAGTATAGGCCATCCAGCTCCTCAACACTGCCAATCCTCTTCCCCGATAATCGGTCCTGAAAGATACAAACAGACAGCAGAAAAATTACTTCATAGTCTAAGTCTTTGGTTATCTTACTTATGGACAAAAGATTAAAACTTAGATTCAACACATGGAGAACCGCTTTTAACGTGACACTAGGTCCAATTCTTATAGTCCCAGTACCGGCCACCACAGAGGAGGTCCCATTGGCAATCTCACTTTACGGTTTCCAGCGCTGGAAATATATGTGGTGTAAAGTTTACCACAACTAGTCATGTGGTACGTTGCTCCTAAGTCAATAATCCATGGTTCTTCTTTTTCTGCCAAGCCACAAAAAACAGTTAATGCTTTACCTCTCTGAGCCAAGAGAGATGATGAGTGGGAAGATGATTGTGTCATCTTCTGCCTTAATTGTTCCAACTGTTCCTTGGAGAAAACCAGTGCTGCAGTGGCTAGAGTGGTTAATTCTTCATCAGTTTTCTTGGCTGCTGCCTAAAATCCCTTTCCTTCATGTCCATAGTTCCGAGGTGTCCAGTTGGTCGGTTTGCCATGTAGTTTTCAGCAAGTCTCCTTGGTATGATAAGGTTTCTTGCAATGTTCGCACCACTTCTTGTTATTTTTTCCTTCCCCCGGATTCTCCTGTCCACGTTCACGAACAACAAGTGCAGAGTTCTCTAAATTCTGCATATTTTCTCCAAGCATCACCTTCTTTCTTGTTTCTTCTCTACGCACCTCAGCAAAAAAAATTTCAATTTGGGGTAGAGGTCTCATTCCTAGCAATTGGCCACGGACTTCATCCAAGTCTTTATTATTAAGTCCTACAAGGAAATCATATATCCGGTCCTGATCTATCATCCTTCTATACAAGACTGCATCTTCGGGGTCTTTCCAAGATGGAGATGAGAAGAGATCCAATTCTTGCCAAAGTCTTGTCAATGTAACATCACTCTCCCCATGTTTCAGATTTCTCACCTTGTTTCTCAATTCGAACATCTGTGAGGCATTCTCTAAATCAGAATAGGCCAAGTTTATAGCATCCCAGATTTTTTTTGCCGTGGGAACAGTATGTAGGTATCTGTAATGTTGTCTTCCATCGAGTGAATCAACCGCGCCATCACCATGGAGTTTTGAGCTTCCCAATTCGCATAAGAAGGGTCTTCAATTTTGGGCTGTGGAATTGAACCATCCAAATAGCCCAATCTTCCTCTTCCCCATAAAACCATCAACACTGAACTAGACCACTTAACAAAATTCTTTCCATTTAATTTGTGGGTGGTAATTTGTAGAGAGATATGGTTAGAACTTTCGGGGTTCATGGAAGTGGGTTGAGAAATAGCAGTGGGAGCAATTGTGGAGGTAGTCCGAGAGGTGTTGGAACTTTCCTCAGGGACATCGCCTCCGCTTGCTCTAGTCAATGCCCTCTTATATGCTGCCATCTACAACTCGGAGCTCAAGAACGTCCAGATTTAACTGGCTCTGATACCATATAGCAAGAACCCGAGGAGATAGTAACTAGAGGAGAAAACACCGTTAGAAGAATGAAACTATTGTTCTATCATTCATATTGCTAGGCATGTACACCGGCCTCCTTATATAGATAAGCCAGGGAACAACAAATAAAAGGAAACAAGATAAATAAGGAAACAAATCAAAAAAGAGGGAAACTGCCTAATCACCTATCCCAAAACTTTAAGAAAATCATTCAAAGTGAACTAATAACTTTCCCCCACAATTATTCCATACTCGGCTACAATCATTACCTTGTAGTATGGTTGAAAATGGATTAAGTCACAGAGGTCACTAGAACTAGAACAACATTGATGTATGAGGGACAAAAAGATGCTGCTAACAAAATTAATTTCTTAGAACATGATTCCAACATCCAAGACTTATACAATACATAATGTAAAAGGATAAGTACCAAAATTCTTCTTTAGCTGTGAAAAATATACATTAATTTATGTCAAAGTGGGTGTTGAATCAAATTATAGCTATATCAATTTAGTGGATCGATCCTAATATATTAACCAAAAATTGGGCAAGAATCTAAACAAAGAAAACAGTAAAGCCTTAGCTATATCAGCATTCATCATGAATAATTTAAGGGATAAATAGGCAAATAGCATATTGTAGAAACGGTTTTTAAGTAATTAGCATATTTTTGAGACGATTGAAATAAATAGCATATTATTTACCTAAAGTAAATATAATATTTACTCGTAAATACAATTACTTATGCCGAGTATTTAGCGCTAAACAATATATTTACGCCGGGCAAATAAATATTTGCCAATATATATGCTATTTACTTCAATCATGTCTAAAATAAGTTATTCACTTAAAAACCATCTGTAAAATATGTATTTACTGCAATTTCTGACTCAGGCATAAGATTCTAACACATAATTACTAATGTAAGTTTAGATTATCAGATTCTCTTCTATGCCAAATCGAGCATTGACCTAAGCACTTGCTGTTATGCAATTGGTTCCAACAACTAGTTTGAATAGCCTCGACATTGAGGTGAATTGATCCAAAGGAAGTTCTCTCTCATTAAACTTAAAAAATATTGAAATCAACTTTACGCAGTCGAAAGAAAAGCTATAGCTAAACCAAGAAAGGACCAAAATTCTTGCATTAAAAAAAAAAAAAAAAAAAAAAAAAAAGAAGGCACCAAAATTCAGGCGTCAGTGTAAAGTCACTTTTTGAAGAAACAAATGTTGGCAGAAGGCAGAAACTAGTAAAATAGTGACTGTAAGGTAATACTTCAGAGAAACCTCTCCTAGTTATTTCCATATTGTCCTCTTTTTGAATAATTATTTAATGCAGTATTGTTCTTATTGAAAATGGAAAATAAAAGAAAAAAAAAGGAATATTTTTAGGATGGTTACTAATCCTAAATACATGCTAAATACCAAAAGAATATCACTTGAACATTAACTTACGGAAAAATACTTTCGAACAAAGTGAATAAATAATGCTCACCTTGTAGGTCATATGCTAATTCACAATTTTAGATTTGTTATATCCAACTGTTTTAATTTGAGATTAAAACAGATAAATCAATCGAAAAGGTTATGAATATAAAGGAACAAAAAAGATAGTATTAAAGTTGTGGGGAACTCACATGAGGCATCTAAGTAACTGATCAGCTCTCAACTTTTCATTAGGCCCTCCACACATCGATACTAACTCCATGAACTCTGAACAAACACTTTGACAAATTATACCTCTCTTTCCAGATATTACACTGCCTAGTTCCTCATGAATTGGATGCTGAATTTCAGACCTTACCTGAAAATCAATACAGAAAACGTTAATGTAAACTACTTGGACGCTATTGTGGAACCAAGAAATAATAATAATAATTGAAACATCACATTTAAGCATCTTAGAGTGCACTAGAAAAACAGTAATGAGGAATATGTTAATGCATTGAATGAAAGGAAACTAATTGATTTAAGACGTGTTAAAACAAAAAAAAATACAATAAAAAAAAATGGTCACATGGGAGGTTGGATAACTTCCTGGATGAAGTGGGTGCGTGGACAAAAATAAAATGTGTTAGTGGGGAGTTTGGTGAAAAATAACGTGGGGAGTTTACAAAACTATTATATGGAAGTTATCTTCCACATCAGTAGTAATTCACAAGAGTGGGGTAATCCTTGAGAGATAAAAGTAGCCAATCATGTTTAAGTATTGTGAAAAAGAGCCAATCAGAAAAAAGTGAAGGATTACAAAAAATGATTGACTAATTAAAAATAAATAAATAAAGGAAAAAAGTAGCTTTTAGTGGGTTTGCTTCAGATGTCTATATATAAGCAAGTAAGAAAAATGGGAAGGGCAGACCATTGATCCCCGTGCAAACTTTGTGCAAGAAAAAAAGTGAATTGAGTATATTACGAGTGAATGTTGAAAAAAAAAATAGAAGAAAATTGTCAGAGAAAGGGAAAGGAAGGTAAAAAAAAAAAAATGTGTGATTGCAATTCTATCTAGTTCTTCGTGTTTTCTCTCATGATGTATCTCAGTCCTTTTTATTATAAATTTCTTTCTAAACTCTCTCTTGTACCGAAATGCCATCTTTAGAGAAGAAGTTCTTTTGTTAGTGTTGATCATATTCTTGCTTCAAGGCGGGTTGCAAATTCTGAACCTAGTAAATGGTCACACCAGGATCTATTTCCCTTTTTGTTCCGAGAGTCAATCCCTCCATTAGACAAAGCGGAGAACCTGTTGCTTCTGACTGCAAGGGCTGACGATTCTGGCTCCGTGACTGGAGCATCTCGGGTTTCTTTTCCCAGCATAACACTCCTTCTGCTTTCCTCCCTGCGGACCTCGGAGAAGACTTCACGAGTGGATGGAAGGACATTACGTCCAAGAATTCTACCACGAACCTCATCAAGCTCGTTGTTCAAGCCAGCCAAGAATGCAAAAACTCACTCCTTCTCAATCATCTTTTTGAATATGACACTGTCTTGTGAACAGTGCCATTCATAGTCATGAAATAAATCCAGCTCCTGCCATAAGGTTCTGAGCGTATTATAGTATTGCAACACGCTCAGATTACCTTGTTTCGTGTTGCGGATGTGTGTGGTAATTTCATAGACCTGGGCAGAATTTCCCAAATCAGAAAAAGTCTCCTTTGCAGCTTCCTAGATTTCTTGAGCAGTGGCCAGAAACATATAAGTCTTGCTGATTGCTGGCTCCATCGAATTGATTAGCCATGACATGATCAAGGCATTCTCAGATTCCCAGGTGTCAATGGATCCGAGACCCTCTTTTGGTTTCTGCGTCGCTCCCGTTAGAAACCAAGTCTTTCCACGACCCCGGATGAATAACATGACCGACTGTGACCATTGGAGATAATTTTCTCCATTGAGTTTGTGATTGGTAATTGGATGAGAAGAGAGATTATCATGAGTATTTGACAGGAGGGTAGATTTTGGAGATGATTTCGCTGATCCAAAATCGTGCGACTAATCATCTACGCTAGATGTGCCAGACATGGTGGCTGTTTGATTTTTCCGGTGATCAGATATTGGCTCAGATACCATGTGGAAACCGGTAGGTCATATTATGAATACCTAGCCGTCAATCTTATTATGAATCAGAGGTATTAGGCCTCTTTTATATACAATTAGGTCACAATCGGTTTGAGGAAAAATAGGAAACTAACTCCTGATTCATAGCTAGCTACAAATCAGCACCTAATCTACCATACGTAGATTACATATTTCTGAGAATGGAATTTCCTAAAGAATAGGAAATAACACGCTTTTCAACAGATTCATTACTAGAACTTTCTTCAAATGAGACACCATTGACCTGTTCATTTTCTTCTGGTTGCTCTTGAATCACAATCTCTTCTTTTTCTGATGAAACAGATTTTTGTTGTTTTTTTACCTTCCACTTCTTGTTCTTTTTGAACCATTTTGATCGAGATGCAGATAGATATTTAATTCTTTCAAAGACAGAAACTCGTGGTGTTGTATTTCTCGTATTTTTTTCTGAGAAGATGTCATGTTCTCTCTTCGTAAACACTTCAGGCTCAAAGGCAGCTTTCAAACAAGAGTTGTTTTGATTAATTACAACTTTTCCATGTTATTTCTTGAAAAAAACTTTCTTGCCATTCACTTTTGATTTTCTTGACATAGGGTTAGGAGATGCCCTTGGCTTGTTTGAATTGACAGTTATAACACGTTTGTTTGAGCTTTCGTGTTCGCCAAAAGTAATTGAGACCTGCATTTTTTCAACTGGGAAAGTTTGATCTAGCTTCCGAAGCGGGAAGGTGAAACTGATCATTAATGTCTCAATCACACTCTTGACGGATGCTAAAGCCTTTTGTCCAGGAGCTCACTGACTTTTTGGCAAGTACTTAAAAGTCATCTTTTGATCGGGCTTGGATGAGCTCTTAACTTGTTTGGTGGTGTGTTAGAGTCCTGGTAACACTTCTGATGAATCTCAATCGTATACGTAAAGAAAACAGAGTTAGAATGAATGAAATGACCCGTTATGGTCTACTTTCTGATTAACTGAAATACATGAAAGGAAAATACAGATAGTGTGAGACTCTAGCCTCCAAAGACTAACTTTGTTACAGCAATATTCACGACACCTTCTACACCAAGCTTAGGCTATTTATTCACCCTGCTCTCACTAACCAGCCACTACTACTACTCGAAACATATCCCACTAACCTCCCCCATTCCCAAGACGCAAATCCTAACTGAATTGCCTTCCCAAGGCTAATTCTCACTCAAATGACCGCCTTGCCCTTGCTTGTCATTCTTCCTCCTTCTCGCATACACAAACTTAATGGGAGGAGATCTAACATTACTCCCCTCCTCGAGTACAACCTTGTCCTCAAGGTTGAAACTTGGAAATTGTTCCCTAATCACAGCCACAGGCTCCCAAGTGGCATCCCAAGACGGTAGGCCTTCCCAGAGAACTAGAATTTCCTGAACATGGCGCCCCCTAACCAGGATAGTACGTGAGTCCAGAACAGCGGCCGGCGTGACGACTAACTCCAACTCGGCTGACAATTGCTGAGGAAGTGGTTGACCCTGGTAATGCTGTCCGTGAAAGCGCTTAAGCTAGGATACGTGAAACACGGGATGAATCTTGGCAGAGGCGGGCAAGCCTAGGCGATAGGCAACTGGACCAAGTTTCTCCAAAACTGTGAATGGTCCATAGAAGCATAGACTGAGCTTCTCATTAACCTTCCGAGCGATGGACTTCATGAAAAAAGGGCGGAGTCTCAACAAAACTAAATCGCCAGGAGCGAACTGTACCTCCCTGCGATGCCAGTCTGCAAATAGTTTCATGTGTTGCTGTGCCAAACAGAGGTGTTCCTTAAGGACATCCAACATTTGATTGCGCTCATGTAGTTGTGTGGCAACCTCATGGACGGCCATAGAATCATCTTGGAAACGATGGAGAGTGGGGGGGTCACGCCCATAAACAACTCGAAAAGGAGAACACTTAATGGACGCATTATATGAAGTATTGAACCAATATTCTGCCCACGGCAGAAATAGAAGCCAAGACCTCGGCTTGTCACACAAAAAACAGCGGAGATAGGTTTCCAAACCGCGGTTGGTCACCTTGGACTGGCCGTCCGTTTGCGGATGGTATGCAGTGCTCGACTGAAGTTTAGTGCCCTGCAACTTGAATAGTTCACGCCAGAATAAACTTATGAAGATCGAATCGCGATCGCTAACAATCGAGCGGGGAAAACCATGCAAGCGGACTACTTCGCGACCAAATAACAAAGCCACCTGCTTTGCCGTGTAAGGGTGAGCCAGGGGACAAAAGTGCGCGTATTTGGAGAGGCGGTCCACCACTACCAAGATCGTGTCCATGCCCTTCGATTTCGGGAGTCCGCCAATAAAATCCATAGCTATATCTTCTCAGATTTGCTGTGGTATCGGAAGGGGCTGTAATAGCCCTGCCGGTGAGAGTGCTTCAGTTTTGGCTTGCTGACACCTCTCGCAACTGGATACATAATCTCTGATAACTTGCTTCATGCCTTTCCAAAAGAAATTTGCTGAGATTCGTTTATAGGTGCGTAAAAACCCAGAGTGCCCCCCCTAAAACCGAACTGTGGAAATCATGTAACACCTGGGGTGTCCAAGAAAGAGGCAGCACTAACCTGTCCCGAAACCACAGTAAACCATTGCGGAGAACATAACCTTCGATTATAACACACAGAAGACTCCTTACCGAAAGAGCTCTCACAAATAGAATTTGAGTACCACGGAGAAAAGCTAGCTGGATAAACAAGACAGGGATCGCCCGCTCGGCAATGCTACCCTGGGGAGGAGAGAAAACACTTTAATATTTTTTTTTATATCATATTCAAAAGCTTTTTCAATATATGAACAAGATTACTATGGAAGAGTTGGTGTCTGACTCATAGCTCTAAGATGACTAGCATGGCTGGACGTCCTTGGTTCATGTTGCAGATGATGTCTTGACAACCAGGGTTTGCGAGTTGACCCTATCGGAGGTCCGACATGTTAAACTGGTGAGGGATGGAAAGGGCCGCAAACTCCACTGGAGAGGCTTCCTCCCTACGCGAAAGGACATCTGCGACCCTGTTCGCTGCACCCGGCTTGTACTAGACCTCAAAATCGTATCCAATGAGCTTTGTTATTAATCGCAGCTGTTCAGGCAGTAAAATCCGTTGATCCAAGAGGAATTTAAGACTCCTCTGATCGGCACGAATGAGAAAATGCCGCCCCAAGAGATAATGCCTCCATTTTTGAACGGCCAACACAATGGCGAGAAGTTCCCGCTCATAAACCGACTTCAAACGGGAGGTCGCTGAAAGCATCTTGCTAAAGTAAGCGATCGGCCTGCCCTCTGCGCCTACCCCGCTGCCAGAAGCGTCGGTTTCGAGAACGAACAATTTAGTAAAGTCAGCATAGCCACGACTGGAAGTTCTGTCATCACACATTTGAGTTGAAGGAAAGATTCCTCTGCTGCGGGATTCCAGCTGAAAACACCTTTCCTGAGCAAATCAGTGAGGGGGCGAGCAAGGGAACCGTATCCCTGAACAAAACGTCTATAATAGCCCGTGAGACCGAGAAAACCCCGTAGCTCGCGAACATTCCGTGGAGTAGGCCATGACAACATCACGCTGACCTTAGACTGATCGGCGGACACCCCCCAGCAGAGAGTACGTGCCCTAGGTAGTGTATCTGTTCTTGTCCAAAAACACATTTGCTGAAATTAGCAAATAAAGCCTCCCTCCGCAACACCTCCAACACCTGCCTCACGTGAAGGTAATGATCCTCCCACGACCTGCTATACACCAAAATATAGTCAAAAAAGACAAACGAATTTCCATAAGAAAGGGCGAAATACCGAGTTCATAAGAGATTGGAACGTGGCCGGTGCATTAGTAAGGCCGAAGGGCATGACGAGGAACTCTTAATGCCCCTCATGCGTCCGAAATGCCGTCTTCTCCACATCGCTCTCGCAGACCCTGATTTGGTGGTAGCCCGACTTTAAATCCAACTTGGAAAACACCCTTGCCCCGTGTAACTCGTCAAGCAGCTCATCAATGATAGGAATTGGAAATTTGTCGGGGATTGTTAACTGGTTCAGCGCTCGGTAGTCGACACAGAAACGCCAACTACCGTCTTTCTTGCGGACCAATAGTACCAGGCTAGCATAAAGACTACTGCTAGGTTGAATGATACCTGAGGCCATCATGTCCGTGACCAGCCTCTCAATTTCAGCATTCTGAACCCGCGGGTATCTATAGGGCCGGATGTTGGGTGGAGACACACCATCACGGAGGACGTTGCAGTGCTCCCTTGTTCGTCGTGGCGGTAACCCCTTTGGCATGCTGAATACGGCTTGGAACACCCAGATGAGGTGCTCGCACCCTGCCGGAAGTGGCTGTACATCTCCCTCAACGGCTCCGTCCTTAGTTGCGCGGATTTCCAGGAGCACCCCAACCCCAGAATGGTTCCATATTCGTGACAGGGAACGCAGGCTAACCGGCGAGTAACACAAAAAAGGGTCCCCCGTCCAACAAATCCACTCCGACCCCTGCTGGAATTGCATGGTAAATTTATCCCAATCTGCACGGACTTCCCCTAAAGTTCTCAGCCACGAAATGCCCAACACCAAATCGGCACTGCCCAGTTCAAATGGGAAAAAATCATCGATTACCAAGTGTCCCTGTACGAGAACGTGGACCCCTCGGCATACACCACTCTGCTAGAAACTCATCCCATTTCCTACCTCAATCTTGTGTCGAACAGACAAGTCCGTGGGAATGGCCAAGCTGTTCACAAGTTCAGCGGATATGAAACTGTGGGAAGCCCCACTGTCCACCGAGAGTATCACCTCCCGTTCCCCCAGAGTCCCTTTTAGTTTCATGGTTTTTGCCGTTGTCATACCTTTGAGGGCTAAGGCCTCTTCCGTCGAATCTCCGTTGACTTGGGTCTGCTCCTCCGCGACCTCACGGCCTTCTTCTTCACTACCCTCGTCCTCACCCACTGCCAGGAAATGCCCAACACCAAATCGGCACTGCCCAGTTCAAATGGGAAAAAATCTTCGATTACCAAGTGTCCCTGTACGAGAACGTGGACCCCTCGGCATACACCACTCTGCTAGAAACTCATCCCATTTCCTACCTCAAACTTGCAATTGCCGATTCCTGCATCTGTGGCCTGGGCTAAATTTCTCGTCACATTTGAAGCATAAACCGCGAGCTCGCCTCTGCTGGACCTCGTCGTACGATAGTCGCCGGTAATTGGATCCGCCACCCATCGCCGAACCCGTAGCAGGTGGGGAATCACGATTCCGCTTGGGGAGCCCTAGGTCTCGAGGAGTTTGGGATCGAAGGAAGCTCTCGGTTCTATCTGCGGTGGTATTAGGCGGTGGATTCGGGTTCGGGTTGCTGAAACCCACTCTCCCGCCCCACTCTACATGGGTATGTCGACCCGCCCGAGCTTTGCAGATCCGATCCACCGCATCCAAATGGTCTTCAGCTTGTTGGGCCAAGTCCACGGCCTCGTTCAAGTTCATGGGCCTGTGCATCTTGACCTCAGCCCGTATGTCTTCCCTCAGTCCGTTAAGGAAAGCGCCTCTGAAAACACTCTCAGGTATACCTCTCATTGTGGCCGCCAAGGACTCAAACTCTTCTCTGAAATCTGCCACCATCCCACCTTGCCGGAGAGCCATCATTCTCTCCGTTCGGTCACCCTCCCTAGAGCGGCCGAAACGATGGAGGATCACATCCCTGAGGTCTCCCCAGCCCACGAATGGCTCTTAAGCGTCCAGCCATTGATACCAACCCAAAGCTCCCTCCATGCAAACAGACGCCACCATCACCTTTTCTCGTTCGTTGATGGCGAAGTACCGTTCGGCTCGAAAGATCCACCCGTGTGGATCATCCCCATGAAATAACGGAAGTTCAAGTTTCTTACCTCGGTGTTCGGCTCGCGCGCGAGGTCTTTCTGGAGATCGATAGCGGTGGTGGCCTTCCCTTCCCCGCACTTGATTTCTCCTTGGAGGACTTGGATCTGCACTGCCGAACGGCCATGTTCGCGCCTGGGTGGAGTTTGGTCATCCTGGATACCACCTGGGGGCAAGTAGTCCTCCCTGAGCCTTCTTGGAGGTGAGCGCTGGGGACGAGCTTGTCTGATCATGAGCTCCTCAAGTCGGTGGATCGCGCCTTGAATTCTGTCCACCTTGGCTCCCATCGCGGCGACCACTCCCTGTACCTCGCCAAGCCTCACTCCCATCGTCGCCACGTCTTCCTGCAACTTTGGCACCGGATCCACCAATGTTTCGAAGGACTGCAACGTATCCTGGAAGCTGTTCAGCCTCCTCTCCACTTGTCCCAATCAATCTTGCTAGTTCGCCATGAATCGTAGGGCTCTGATACCAAATTGTTAGGGTCCTGGTAACACTTCTGATGAATCTCAATCGTATACGTAAAGAAAACAAAGTTGGAATGAATGAAATGACCCGTCATAGTCTACTTTCTGATTAACTGAAATACATGAAAGGAAAATACAGATAGTGAGGAGAATTCGAGGACCCTCTAGCCTCCAAAGACTGACTATGTTACAGCAAAATTCACGACACCTTCTACACCAAGCTTAGGCTATTTATTCACCCTGCTCTCACTAACCAACCACTACTACTACTCGAAACATATCCCACTAACCTCCCCTATTCCCGAGACACAAATCCTAACTGAATTGCCTTCCCAAGGCTAATTCTCACTCAAATTACCGCCCTGCCCTTGCTTGTCATTCTTCCTCCTTCTCGCATACACAAACTTAATGGGAGGAGACCTAACATGGTGTCATTCATCTTTTCTCCTTTTGACATTTTGTTGCCATCCCTTAAGATTGTGACATCGGCCGATTTGTAAAACTTGGCATCAACGTAGTTTACAAAAAACGTTAATGTAAACTACTTGGACGCTATTGTGGAACCAAGAAATAATAATAATAATTGAAACATCACATTTAAGCATCTTAGAGTGCACTAGAAAAACAGTAATGATGAATATGTTAATGCATTGAATGAAAGGAAACTAATTGATTTAAGACGATCATTTAAAATGAAACAAAGGAGATATAGAAGAGGATATTCAACATAGGATTAAAGCAAGGTGGGTTAAGTGGAAGAATGTTACGGGAGTTTTATGTGATAGCGAGATGCCTATTAAGTTGAAATGAAAGTTCTATAGGACTATAATTCATCCAGCTATGTTATATGGTAGTGAATGTTGGGCCATTAACAGACAACATATATCTAAGATGAGTGTGGCAGAAATGCGTATGTTAAGATAGATGAGTGGCCATACGAGAATGGATTGCATAAGGAATGAAGTTATTCGTAGTAAAATAGGTGTAGCACCAATAGAAGATAAGGTGCGTGAAGGCCACTTAAGGTGGTACGGGCATGGCCAACGTAGACCGCTAGAAGCACCAGTTCGTGCTTGGGAGGACATTCTTATACCTAATACTAGGAGAGGGAGGGGTAGACCAAGAATTACGTGGACCGAAGTAGTTAGGAAAGACATTCTAAATCTAGGCCTTCAAGAAAGTTCAATTTCGAACAGAACTGCGTGGAAAAGTAAAATCTATATAGCCGACCCCAATTAAGTTGGGATTAAGGCTTGTTGTTGTTGTATTTAAAATGAAACAAGCTTTACAAAACACTATCCTTAAAACAGTTACAAGACTTTAAAATGTTGTATTCCCCTACTTCAAAATATTGCTATGCTAGAGGCAATTTAGAGAATATAGTGTATGAAGCACAAAAATTGAGGGAAAACTTACCTGCCCAATCACAAACTCATAGTTTCCCTTAAACCGCTGCCTCAATTCAGCTTCAGGCGTAGCCAAGAGTTTCTCACTTGCACCATTACTAATTCCAGACACAAGAGCAATCAAAGCTGTTGTATCAAAATTTACAAAATCACCTTCTCCCAATGGGATTGCCGGATTAGTGTTGTCTGCACTTTTCTCTTCCATAGAGAAGAATGCCATTCTAGAAATAAGAGAAGAGAACGAATTACCTACATCTTTTTCCATGTGACCTTTTGAAAGCCCCACCCTAGCAGCCTCCCGTAATGAGTCTTTGACACATTCCACCGTCGAAGCAGCATCCCTTGTTTCATTAACCTTTATTTCAAGCACACATGCCTCTCTATATGTCCTTGAAAGAACACTGATCCAGTCACCTTCCAAATCCTCAGAGAAATCAAAATTGAAAACAGAAAACTCCAACCCCAGCTCAACTGCTCCAAATTCATCTTTCAGTTTCTCATATATTTCGCTTTTGAGTCCATTTGAGAAGAAAAGAATAATTGAGGAAGGTTTTAGTGCCACAGAAGTCCGGGCAGCAGCCAGAGCCTGCTCAATTCGCAGTTTTAAGCCCTTACTTTTGTGGGACTCATTCCATGAAACGTACTTCGGGTTCCTATCAGAAACAATAATCCAGACAGGGTTCCTATCAAGAATACAGACTATATCAACATGGACATCTTTAGACAAAATACTTTTCTGCCCCCTTCTAGATCTGGATGAAAAAGGAATCGGCTTGCAAACACGTGAAACTCCTGTAATGAAAGGCTGTTGGAGAATATGAACAACAGCTTCAATATGCCCAATGTTGACACTGTCATTCATATAGAAAAGCATACTAATATGTCAGAAATCATAATATTTTCTGCTCCGGATTAAACACATTACACACATACACACATACATATACATCGATAAAGCACAAGAGTGTTGGTTTGCTGATATTATTAACTAAATTCTGCTGGGTCATCCATAACAAACCCATGCCTTCCAGATTCACTCGACAAATTAAGAGCTTGTAACTAGTTTGGTAGGACGGAAAATGAGAAGAAAGAAAGGGGTTAGGGTGCTAGTGAAAGGATTTACGTACTTATGATAGCTTGGTAGGAGCAAAAAGATGAGGGAATAGATTGGGTGAGCGATTTCAAATCTTTCAAAGAACTTCAATTTCAATCTCCCAATATGGTATTACAGTATAGAATTCATGCCAAAAACAATAAGAGAAATGGTTTCCCCTTCGTCTCCATTTTCCTCACCTAACTTGCATAACTTTCTTTCCATCCCATTTTGTTTCCAGCTTACCAAACAAAGCCAAAAGACCTTGGGACGAAAATGTACTATCACCGATAAACAAAGCTAACTAAATGCACTAGAACCCATTTACACGTTTGTGAATTGGTGCGTGATGAGTGATTCTTCAGAAGCTATCCGCCCAGGAAAACATTTGTCCCAAACTGACTTGGCAACTTCACTATTCCTAGACCTGGACACAATTCTCAAAGAAGATACTGAAATGAATTCAATGTTCTTTTTTTGTATTTCATTTTTTTTTCTTTTTAGTGCAAATTGAAGTCTTCTGGTAATAATGGCTTAAACAAACTTCATAAACAAAGCCAAAATCCTAAACGCAGAGGAAAAGCATACCTGAGAGATGTCAAAGTAGAGGAGGAGAAATGCGAAAGGAAGCGAAGCTCAGAGTCAGCCAATTTGAAGAGCGTGCGTTGGCAAGAAGCGGTGAGTTTATTGGGGGAAGTTGGCAGTTTCTCTATTCTCTCTATCACGGCTCTACATCTCTTCTTTGCCAATTCCATTCTCTCTTGACCTTCACTAGAGCGGCAACCCTCCCAACTGAAACGAATTGGGATTTTTGGAAAAGTTTCTCGGGAAAATTTTTGGAAAAATTGCTCAATTGGCCCCTTTACGAATTTGCAATACTATCGCTCTTCCTTGCAACACGATGACACAACGTACACACGATTCTTTTTGGGCTAATGTTGAAAAATGAAGCCGGATTTATTCTGGGTCCGTTTAATTCGTTGATTCAAATTTTTAATTTAAGATATAATTTTATGTGAGAATTTTTAATTATAGTAAAAAAATGACTATTTTTGAGTAATTTTTATTGTAGAATCCGAATTCAAAACTCAAATAAATAAAACGAACGAGTCTTAAAATTTTGAAAAAAAAAAACAAAAAATCTCTTTCTCTATCATCCATTCATGAGAGCTCTTCCAAATTTTCCTTTTTACGGATGTCATCCTAAATCTCAAACCCAAAAAATATACGAAATATTGGGTGCATTTGGAATAATTATTAGTTGTTTTTAAAAGTGTTTTTATAGATTTTTTGAGTCAAAAAAATAAAAACGGTTTGCAAACTGCAGTCTTGTTCATTTTACTAATTAGAATCGCAACTCAAAAATTTACTATAGTGTTTTTTCTTATAAAAACTAAAATTTAACTTTTAATGTTACATTGTTTATTCTCGCATAAATTTATCTTTCAACATCGAATAGAATATTCTAATAGGTGATTTGAACGAGCCTTACGTTTCTTTTATAAATACAAGAATGAAAAGAATAATGAAAGAACTAAAAAATGATTTAAAGTTGTTTTCACTGTTTTTCTCAGTATTTATCAATAATGTTATATTAAATAATTGACTATCAATTACCAATTATATCATATATTAATTATTAATTAACTAATAGAAAGTATTTACTTAATTATTAATTAAATATTAATTTCTTATTATTAAGTGCGTAATTTATTACTAATAATAATATAAATAGGAATTAATTATCTAGTTAAACATTAATTGGCAAAATTTAATTATATAATAGATCAATAATGGAATAACTAGTTGTAACACCCTGAAGAATTAATTGAGATTAATTAAGGTAATTTAGATTATTAGTGTGCCTAATCTGATTTAATTAATTGAGTTTTGATTAATAAATATTTCTGACACGTGTGAGTTTAAATAGTTCCAAGGTATTTAAATTATTTTCAGTAGTTTATTTTAACCCAGAAGTGTGTATGGGCGCATTTCTGGACTGCTCTTTTAAAATATTGACACTTGTCCATTTTCTTTCCTTTTCTTTTTCTTTTTCTTTCCTTCCTTCCCTTTTCTCTTTCCTTTCCCGTGCATCTCTCTCTCACTCTCTCTCTATCTCTCTCCTGTGCACTCTCTCTCTTTCTCTCTCTCTCATCTTTGTCCCAAATCAAACGGATCTTGAAGTAAGGAAAGATTTAAAGAACTTTTCAACATCAAGAGAAGGATTCGAGGTAAGATTACTGCAAGAACCTCTCTTGAATCTCACGTTTTTGAATTTCAAAACTTCTTTTTGGTTCAAACCGGATTTTGATGGTTTTTGAATAAAACTATGGCAAAAATTGGAGATCTTGGTTTCTTTGGACTTGTTTTAGGACCTAGAACCCGGATCTAGTGGTTTTCCTTTGAAACATTTGGATTTGGGACTGGATTTGCAGGTTTTTGGACTGGTTTCCGCGAGCGTATCTCGCGCAGCTGATTCCACCGGTCGACCTATGCGGTCGACCGGATTGCATTGGCCTGACCGGTCGACCTGTCCGGTCGACCGGACACCACTGGTCGACCGGTGGTAATGTACTGTTCTGTCACCGGTCGACCGGTTGATATGGGGTTTGACCATGTTTTGCCTAAAATTGCTGTTTTGACCCCTGTTTTCGGGGAGATCCCAAATTAGCTTCATTTGGGGACTTGAGATGAATGGATTAGCATCTTTAATCCTTGTTTTGAGATTGAAAACCCTTGAAATGATATTTTGAAACATGAAAATGAATTAGAGCACACTAATTGGAAATCTTTGTACATGATTGAGATCGGGTTGCTTTAGGAATGAGAATTGATCCTAAAGTATTGTCTTGCATCAGTGATCGCTGAGGATTCAGACTGAATGGGCTTAAGGAAGCGGAAGCCGGAAAAGGCAACGCTAGTCCCAGGTTTGATAATGCGAGGTAGGATTTCTATCCCTTTTCCTTGTGAGCCTGATTTTTAAAAAGATTTTGGCCTTGGAAATGTTTTAAAGAAATGGGTTGGTTTGCAAAAGAAAAACACTTTGAAAACCATGGCTTGTGAAGTTTATGGAATCCATGGCTTGTCCTATCCATAGAATCCATAGCTTGTCCAGTCATGGAACCTCATGGCTTGCTTAGTCATGGGGCCCGCGACTTGAGTAGTTCGTGGGGTCATAATAATGATTTCAGAAAGTTAATGAATGATTTTTTAAGTAAAGAGATCTTGTGAATTGGTAAGAGAGTCTATTGCGGTAAGCCTAGATAGAATGCGGATAGTGCGTCCTCGGGGGCAGAACCCGAAACTCGGTCCGGGTAGGCGAGACACTTGGTTTGGTAAGTAATTTATACTAATTACTTGCTGAAGCCTATAAAACGGTTATTTTCAGTTATATTTCCTTTGAGAAAAAGGATGTGAGGTTCAGGCTGTTCTGTCGGGACTGAATGTCTAATTTTATTTACTTATTCATTCATTTATTTACTTGCTCATTTATTTATATTTATAACGTTTATTTCAAATTATATCCTACTGGGCCTTTCGCTCACGTTTTATGTTTTAAATGTATTAAACCCCTCCCAGGAGATTCTAGGCACGGTGTACAGTAGCTGGATATTTGCTACGAAGTAGCTGAGTTGTGCTGCAGTTGGAATCAAGTGAGGATTGTGGTCATCCTTTGAAATAAAATGTAAGGAATTGAGAATTCTGTAAACTCTTGAAATATTTGGATTAACTAGACTGTGGTTGATGTCTATTGTAATGATTATTTACATGTTCATGTATGTATGATACTGTATGTCATGTGGGGTGGAGCCCTGTGTGTTGTCAGAGGCTTGGGATTCTTCGGTAATTTATTTATATTTTAATGCAGTCGAGTGGGGCTCGTCTGAGAATCTACTTTATTAACCCCTAATCGAGCTCCACGTCACCCACCCCGTTTGGGGGGCGTGACAGAGTGGTATCAGAGCACTAGGTTAAGAAATCCCAGGATTGTACATACATGTGTGACATTTGTTATCCACTGAACAATCTAGTTTTATTTCAGTTAAAGGAAATGGCGCCTCGCCGTAGGCCCGCTAATCAACCGGCACAACCGAATCAGGGATTTCTGGATGCCATGTATGCTGCCTTTCAAGGCATGGCCACTAAAGCTCAAAACGAGCGGCCGGTTGAGCATAGGAAGCAAGGGTACTTCCAAGAATTTAGGCGTGTGCCTATCCACTCATTTAATAGTGAGGACCCCAGGAGGCAGAGTTCTGGTTAGACTCCATAGTTAAGCATTTAAGTACTATGGGAGTTCTAGATGAATACTGGGTGGAATTTGTGGTGTACAAGATGGAGGGCTTAGCGAATACTTGGTGGAAACATGTCAAGAGAAGAATAGATGTTACAGGACTGACCTGGGAGTCAATTATTAATTACTTAATTTATTAATATAAAATTATTAATTAAATGTACTCAAAACAAAATTTTATAAATATAATAGAAAATATTTTCTTAAAAAACTAACCAAACGCAATTTTAGAATCGGTCCTAAAATGATTTTCAAAACAATTTCATTTCCACTTTTATACTGAAAATAAAACCATCTTGAAAGTGTCACCAAATGAGCCCATTAACTCTAAAAATAGTGCACGTAGTTCACCGTCGATCCCATTTTGGTCCTTAATTTGTAAAACGTCTCACAGTTAGTTCATGATGTTTTATTCTATTTTAGTTTTGGTCTCTCTCTTAGTTAGGTGTAAATATTTGATGAAATTTGTAGAAATTAAGAACGAAAATTGAAAACATCTAAAATTTATCAAAAACTTCTAAGAAATCTACTGTGCCCAAACTGTTGCAGATGTTGTTGCAATAATGCTTTGAAGACAAAACCAAAAGTCAACAATTCTAATTCTTGAAATCTTCCCGTACACATGAACTTGGACGTATACTTCTAAAATACAATTAATTTGAATAGCTGAGCACAATCACTTCTTCATATCAATTATTCCATTAAATTTCAACTTATTAAAAATGACTAAAGTTGACTTTCACCAAATCATATCAAAATGAATGACTTTAAGTACTTTCCAAAATGACAATAACAGCTACCAATCAATGTTCAATCAAACCAATTGTCAAATCATTCCCAAATAATGTCAACACCTAAAATTAATCAAATCCAAAAATGGCAAACATCAAACCAAAATCCCCACAATATCAATCATTGATCTAAGTTCACCAAATCTCGTGACATAAAGTCTTATATGTTAAATGAAAAAAGACAAATTCATTCTAAGCAACTTTAACATCTAATTCGAGTTTTGGATGATGCCCAAAATATATATTATGTTCTCCCCTATTTAAAAAGAGAGCGTACATATTTAAATTACAAAACTTATAATCAACACTAACCTATTAAATAAACAAGCGTAAGATAACTTCAAAACGGAACAACTAAAAGCACTTATCTTCAGCGAAGAAAAAATGAAAGAACGCTGAAAGAAAAAAAAAGGACTAAAAGCACTTATTATAAATACTCTCATGTAAAATTAAAAATAAAACTCACAGTAATAAGTAAGATAAGAACCATAAAAAATAAAGACAAGATACCCATAATATCCCATATATTTTGCGTAAATACTATTTTTATCCTTCTAATATTTAGTAAAATATTGAAAAAGAAACCTCTTATTCTTAAAATGCCCAAAAAAAGCCTGTATTTATAAATCATTCTCACAAGATCCCCATAAATAATTAAATTTATTAAAATACAAACATTTCTATGACATTTTAAAAATTATTTTAAATTTATCAAACCAAAATACTAAGTAAAAACCAATCTTAAAAATAAAAAATTCTTAAATGAAATATTTGTTTGACATTTTAAAAATTATTTTATTTATTTAATTTTTTATTAAAGTTATATTTAAAGCAACAATTTTAGTTAGGGTGAACAATTTTTTTAAGATGTTTAAAATAATGTTTGATAAAAAAACAAAAAATAAAAAGAGATTTCAGCACAAATAACCCTTTTTAAATAATATTTTCATGAATAGTTGAAGTTTTATAAAATT